AGCTTAATTACTCTGAGATATTGTGGCCCGAGAAGAAAGCCTGATGTATTGGAAAGAGTACTGGATTGGTTTTGAGGCCTAGTTGTATGATATGTCATTTCACCACTGAGCTTCTGCTTCCTCATCTATAAAGTAAGGCTGTACCTCCACCTCACTGATTTGTGAACAGCAAATGCCTTTGCATATGTAAAAAGTTGAAAATACTAAAAAAAAATTTTTTGTTATTATAAGCCTCATTTCCTTCTTGACAGGATTATAAGTGGTAGCTTTTTTTTGGTTTTTGTTTTTGTTTTTAGGCAATTGGGGTTAAGTGACTTGCCCAGGGCCACACGGCTAGTTAGTGTCAAGTATTTGGTCTGAGGCCGGATTTGAACTCAGGTCCTCCTGAATTCATGGCCGGTGCTCTATCCACTGCGCCACCTAGCTGCCCTTTATAAGTGGTAGCTTTTGACATGGGTAGCATTTCTAGATTTCAGCAAGGTGTTGACTGAGTTCTGAAATGTTGGCTAGAATGATAGATGGATTCATCTAGTTGAGTTACCACATCCCTTCAACAATATTGCTGTTAGTTTGAATAAAAGTCTCTTGTAGAGTGTCCTAGAAATCAGTCCTTGGTACTTCATGTTGTTGAATGTATTTAGAGGTTATTTGGATGGTGTCAGAAATATCATGCAACCAGATTTTCAGATTACTAGTTAACTTGGAAGAATAGCTAATAAGTTGGATAACAGAATAGTGGTTCAAAAAGATCCGACAGTCTAGGATGGTAAGCCAAGAATAGGATGAAGTTTAGTGGGGATAAATATAAAGTCCTGCACTTAGGTTTAAAAAGTCAATTGTAGGGCAGCTAGGTGGTGCAGTGGAGGGTCGTGCTTTGATGTTGATTTCTGCTGATTGATCATGGTGGTGGTTGCTGAAGGTTGGGTTAGCTCTGGCAATTTCTTATAAAATAAGACAAAGAAGTTTTGCCCCATTGAATGACTCTTCCTTTCACTTGAACACTTAGAAGAGAAGCCTTTGTAGGATTATTAATTGGCCTAATTTCAATATTATTGTGTCTCAGGGAATAAGGAGGCCCTGGAGTCAGGAGGAGCTGAGTTCAAATCCAGCCTCAAACACATAACACTTACTAACTGTGTGACCTTGGGCAAGTCACTTAACCCCATTGCCTAGCTCCCCCCCAAAAAAGTCAATTTTACACATACAAGACAGAGAGAAGGTATGTATGACTAAAATTATTAAGAAAGAGCACCTCAGTTTTTTGATAAATTATGGATTAAAGTTTTGGTATGACTCAGCACATGGAAGCCAAAAAAAGCTAATGTGCTCTTAAGTTGTATTAGAGTAATTAAAATGAGGGAGGAGATAATTCCTTGCTGGAATAATCTTTCGTATGTATAGTTTTGGTCAAGTACCTCTTGCTCAAAACTCTTAGAAGTTCAAATTTTTCTGGCATTCAAGGCTTTCAGTCTTCTATTTTCCATTTATCTCAAATTCTTGTTCACTTGTGTCTGACTCTTTGTGAGGCTATTTGGGGGTTTCCTTGCACAAGGTACTGGAATAATTTGCCATTTCCTTCTTCAGCTCATTTTATAGATAAGGAAACTGAAGCAAACAGGGTTAAGTGACTTGCCCACGGACACACAGCTAGTAAGTGTCTGAGGCCAGATTCGAACTCAGGAAGATATTTTCCTGACACCAGACCTGGTATTCCATCCATTGTGCCACCTAGTTGACCTCTTGGACTGTGCATTTCACATCCTTCTGTGTTTTTTTATATTCTTGGAATTTTCTTCCTTCTTTTGGCCCTCTGAAGTCCTTTCCAACTTTTAAAGCCAAACTCCAATGTCACTCTTCCCAGAAGTCTTCCACGATCATCTCTACCCCAGATGCTGTAAAGACGTTTCCCCTCAGACCACATGCAACAGTTTTGTTTTGTAACCTTACTGTGTATTTGGATGATATTGAGTATCATGCTGAACTGTGTGGGACTACGTGGGGGGACTGTGTCGCATCTAAACTTTCTGACTAATCCACTAAATAGAGTACAATTCTCTGTAAACAGTGGGTGCCTAATAAACATTGTTGCATTCTGTCTAGGTCACTCTGTGTGTAATAGAGTGTTCAGTTCTGGGTGTAATATTTTACAAATACAAAGACAAGTTTGAACTTTAAGAAAGGAAGGTGACCAGGATAGTGATGAGGATTCCAGTTCTGCTATACCGGGATTAGACCTCCACTTCTTGGCTACAGAATATAGGATGAGGAACAGTGGTGGGAACTTGTGGAGAAGCAGGTTTTGGCTCAATTAATGTAAGTCAAGATTTCCTACCAATTAGAGAGATACAAAATTCGAATGGGTTACTTAACTCTGTAGGACAGAAGACATTGGCTCTGAGGTTCTTAAACTTTTTTGGGTCATGGACCCCCTTTGGCAATCTGGTGAAGCGAACGGACTCCTCAGAATGTTTTTTAATGCATAAAATAGGATTACAGAGAAAACCAAGTATATTGAAATATAATATGTGTGTACATACATACACATATTTAGAATTGAGAGACCCTGGCTTAAGAAACCCTACTCTTAAGTGTTAGAATCAGGACCTAGGATAAGATTCTGCCTTTGCTTACTTTGCCTGTGTTACCTTGGCTAAGTTACTTTAACTTAGTTGGGCCTCAGTTTCCTCACTTGTAAAATAAGGGGGTTGGACATATGGTCTCTGAGATTCTTTCCAGCTCTAGATGCGATCTACCTCTAGGACGTGTCATATTAGGTCTTATTCAGTTGTGAGTTGGAGGAAATCAGGATATTTGGGTACTGTGAGAATTCTGCTGGAGACATTTGAGAGTATACCATATCACTATAATGGTCAGGATACTTAGATCTGGGGATTACCCAAGGCAACACCAAATATATTTCTTAACACTTCATTGACCTAGAATCTTGGCTCTTAGGCAGCTTCATTGAGAATATTCATCAGGAAAATAAAAGCTTCTTGAGATTTTTGTCTTTGTATCCTTAGTGCTACACAGTGCTTTGTACATAATAAGCAGGTGCTTATTATATGATGAATTGAATCAAACCAGTGGAGAAGCCAGAAATCAACAAGAAAGGCTTCTGTGCAGTCAATAAATTTGATTATAATTTCCAAGTCAACAGTAAAATGATAGAAAAGAAGCATGACAAAGGCACAATTAAGTGACAGCTGACAGCAAAGGAGGAACTAAAAAGCAGACACAAGAACCCAAAGAACATGGCAGTTCAGGGTCATTTAATGTAGGGGCAAAATAGCCCACTGCAACCTAGAGAGATGAAGAAGGTTCACAGTATTGCAGCATGGGACAATATTTTATGAAACCTTTAGCTTCAAGGTACAAGGATAATCACCTATTCTTGTACTTTCTCAAACCTTAGTTATGCAATGTACTTTTTTAAAGTGTTAAAAACTATTGGGGTAATCTTATTACATGGGGACTAATGCTAGGTAATTAGGTATTGATTTTTCCACCATGAATTGTTTATTTCCCTGGAAATGGCATTCAAAGACTTTTTTTAAACTTTTAGTCAACAACATTTATTAAGCATCTACTATGTGCTAGACACTGGGTTAAGTTAAGTGCTAGGGAGAAAAAAAAAAGAGAAAGTAAAAAACATCTTGCCCTTGAAGCTTCTAATCTAATGGAGGGAGACTATGCAAACAACTTTGCACAAATTTTACCAGATTATAGCATCACTGTCAGGATTATGGATCATAAATCTAGAGCTGAACAGGATCTCAGAAGCCTGTTAGTTCAATTCCTCTTGTCTTACAAATGAAGAAAAAGGCCCCAGAAGGACATCATGTTCAGTTTTTAGTTATTTTCTTTCCATGGCTATAGTGTCAGTGGCCATCAGTAAATAATTAACAGGATTAATTGTTGGGAGATTTCTTCGTAGAGTGTTGCCTTCAGCTTCATTCCTATTGAAAAACATCCAAGGAAAATACTTCCCTGAGAGGTCAATATACTGTTAAAAAAACCAAAACCCAATAGTATGCAGAAACAGTATTGCACCAATGTGCAGTTTAGTCAAGGCTGAAACTTGGGATAAACTTTAAAAGTAAGACTGCATCTCTTAAGAATTAGAACTGGATCAGAAGTTAAGAGAAATGGTGGATCTTGTTTGCAGCATTTATTCTACAATGAAATGTTAAATGTAGCCTTTTAAAACATCAACAGTTTAAAGTTGTGGGTGGTATAATAGCAGTGCTGGAAAACTCATTAGGTGAATTGTCTTTTTTCCCTTTGGAAGGTTTGTTTATACTATGTAGTAAGTGATACTGTAATGATACTAGTCAGTAATCGCAAATGACTTTAGAAGCCTGAAGTGACTTCAGTTGATGTTCAGTTAATTTATTAAGCCTCTACTATGGGTAAAATGAAGAAACACAACTGGATAAACTAAACATTTGAAGTACAGTGTAACAAATGAATTGTTTTTAGAAGTACTGTTGTTGGCTAAGACAGATAAAATGACTGGTCTGGGCATTCACTTTTAAAGCTAATGATCCTGATGACTTCTAGGTGAAGTGCAAAATGTGTACTGGGAAGAGTTTATCTACAAAGAGCATAAAGGGGGACCCATTACAGAAGGTCTGATATTTATTTCTAAACCGTTGGAGAATTGGGGGAGAAGAAGAAGGCCTACTCAACCTGAACCAAGTAGAAATGATATGGTTTATGAGCAAGGTTAATGAAGAAATTCCTGTATTTGTGCAAAGTTCTATACACTCATGGAATTACAGTCCAGACCCCCCACCCCAAATTCTGTTTGCACAACTAGTGGTAGTGATTATTCCTGCTAAGCTCTAACTCAGATTTACGTGTGTTATGCTTACAGAAGACTAAAAACTGGTGTTCAAGTTGATCTTTATCTGGATTTTCAATCTTCCAAAATAGAATATGTAAGGAAACTACTTATTTACACAGAATGGTGAGCTTTTTTTCCCCTCTTTCTATAGGAAACCTTTGACTCAGAATTAAAAAATGCTGGACAAAAATTAGTAGTAGTTGACTTCTCGGCCACATGGTGTGGACCATGCAAAATGATCAAGCCTTTCTTTCATGTGAGTATTAAGCACTTTCTATTTAAAAGAGAAATATCAACTGTCCATGTTACTGTTTGTTCTGCCACTGTACTCCATGTTAATTGAATACATCTTTTGTTTCCTAAAATTTCTTAATGAGACCTTTGAAATAAAATGGCTGACACAGATTGGTATATAATGTAGCTAGGAAAGAAGACAAAGTAGGAAAAAAAGATTTTGATGCCTATGTATGATAAATGTCAAAATATAATTGCCTTTTGCCACAGGCTCTTCTAAAGGCCTAAAAAACAGCTCTTGATGTAACAAAATTTATAAAGCCTTGAATTAAATCTGAGAATTAGGATACACTTTATTTGTGGCTTTTAGAAGTTAATTGAGATTTTTCTAAATTACCTTGCTTTTAAAGCTTGAAACTTGGACTATAATTTAGAATCCAGTCCACCGTTTTGCCTCTCTAGTTAGAAACTGATTTTGAAGGAAATTTTTAATTATTTGGACCTAGTGTGAATCTTAATTGGGTTACTGGAGAATGCTTAACTTAATTCTCCACTTTATTGACACTTTAGTTGTTTCTTAACTATTATCTTCAATTAGTTAATTCTAAGAGTACCTCCTCTATCTTTGTTGTTATTGTTGTTGTTATTATTTTCCTTATTGTTATTTTCATTTAATAGTCTCTTGGTGAAAAGTACCCAGATGTGATCTTCATAGAAGTGGATGTAGATGACTGTCAGGTGAGTAGCTGAAGGATATGGCATGGTGACTGACTATAGCCATCACCTGTAGACTTTTTTTTTCCTCCAAATTCATGGTAATAGGAGAATAGCAATATTTATGTGGACTGAATATTAAAACTATAACTAGTCTCTTAGTTAAAAACACCTATAGCAATTAGTAAGATCAGATATTTATACCTGTTACTTTTTCAGGAACATTGCAGAGCATATCCTAAAATTGGTTCAGATTTTTGTCTTAAGAAATGTATTTTCTAAAACATCTGACTTGGGATTAAAGGAAAAAGACTAGGTATCACTGGCTTGTGAAAGTTAGATATCAGGAATGCTATTATTTCTCTCCCTCCTCCCCTGCCATTTCTCCCCCCCCCCCCCACCCCTTTAGAGCCCTAAGAATTATTAAGTACCGTGGGGTATTTAGTAAGATGTAAATTGAATTAGGAGCCTTAAGTTTTATTTCTTGCTTTGTTTTTGAGGGCCTGCTCTATAACTGCTTTACCTTGGGAGCAATTAAAATAGACTACAGTGGCAAGTTTTAGGGGCTGTTGGAAAGACTAAAAGTTATTGAAATTCTTGTGGAAAAGTATGAGGAAAGATGTTCTTTTAAGGTTGTTCTATCTGTGAAGGCTTAGTGGTCAATCTAAAGAATCAGATATTTGGAAGAATAAAGACAAGAGTCATAGGTAGTAGATGAGCCAGATAGAACAACTGGAGAAAAGAGAACACTGGATCCTGAATCACTGTCAGCAGTCGCGCTAAGGCAAATGCTTTTACAAGGAGCATACTACCTAGTCCTCTCTGTAGCATGCCTTATTGCCTGCTGGGCTAAACTAGAGAATGTTTAGGACTGTCAGGAACAAATAGAATCAGAGCTGTAGAGTCCAATCCTCTCAGGTGTGACAGTCAGGGCCCAGAGGGGTTAAGTAATTTGCCCAAGGTCACTAGGTGACAGCAGAGATTTGAACCCAGGTTCTTGAACTTCAAATTTAATGTTCTTTTCAGTGTGCCCATCTGTCTCTCCTTGAAAGCAATAAAAGGTCACCTAAATCATAAACTGTTTTTATCAGAACTTTGTCGGTATAGACCCTTAATCACAAGAGTAGACTGCTTTTTGAGAAACTCAGCAAGTCAAGCCAACAAATATTTATTAAGCATTCAATTATGTGTCATGTTGTCCTATGGAATTTTAAAATTATGAATTTATTATCTTGACATCTAAAGAAGAAGGAATAAGGATGAACATTTTTTATTATGGTACTTTGGGGAACATGTATATGACTGATTTATAGAAGCTATGCTTTCTGGTTTTCTCCTTGACCATTAGAACTCTGTCAAAGCACTCAGTGGAAAATTACAATATAAATTCATGCCAAATTCATTTGATCTTCTTGTGTAAGACAAATGCATGAATACAAGTATTTAAGTTATGCCCTCTGCATATAAAACACTTAAATATAGTGCTTAAACATTGAAAGTGCTCAATAAATAGTATTTCCACACAATAAGAAAATATTACCTAAACCTATTTGCATGCCACTGAGTAACTTTTTTAAACTGAAGATTCAGCATGTGAATTTAAGTTAAATTTTGTGACAGGGAAGGCATTAAATTCTGAATTCCATACCTGAGTAATAGATGTCAAATGAAAAATCATAGGCATAAGTGAAATTTTCTTAAGATGAATACTTATGATCACATTTCCAGGCTGTAGCACCCAAGATGAAATAGAATTAATTGCTAGTACTTTGAAGTAGAAAAGTGCTCCCACCTTCCCCACCCTGCTAGGGAAAGAAAGGTTGGGTAATGAGCATGCTTGCAACATATTCATGCTGCATTTTGATAGATGGCTGGGATGAATTGACGTGGAGAAGGTTAAGGAAAGCTTGCTTATTATCTTGGCAATGAGATGAAGCTCTTCATTTTGTAGAGGAAGAAAATAAAGTAAAATGCTTTATCCAAGTTCACATAAGTAGTTATTAGCAGAGCCAGATCTAGAAAATACCTGGGCTGCAGTCTTAGGCTCTTTTATATTACACTGTTTGAATGCTTTATTTTAAAGTACATCTCCTTTAGTTTCTCTCTATGTATTGTACTTTCCCCTAAAATCTGACTTGTATAAAATAGTCATATGGCTCATAAATGGTATTTTTCAGTGTACTTCCACTATAAAAAAGTGTAGCATCCTTCTGCTAATGCTTCTTTCCACATATGCATCTCTTCAGCAGACTTCATTTAGGAGCTACGTTGGTAATACAAATGCACTCCTGTGTGCTCCAAATGTGTCTTAACGCCATAGGAGTGAGAAGAATTAATCTGAGAATGAAGTCATGTGGGAAAGTATATTGTCTTAGCTAATCACAGAATTTATTAGCTGTCAAGTATAATCTATACCTGACAGGTGGTTATGAAACCTTATAGAGGACCGTAAGAGAGAAAACCCACTGCCTTCCAAGGTAATCCATTCTTGTCTGTGATAATTTGTCCTCGGTTTCCACCCATTGCTCCTAGTTCTGCCATCTAAGTCAATCAGATAATTCAAAGATTGCTATCATATCTTCCCTTGAGTCCTTCTAACGTAAAACATTCATAGTTCCTCCATCCTGTCGTCAGTGAGCTTGAGGCCCTCCAACCATTCTAGTTGTCCTGGATTCTTTCTAGTTTCTCAGTGTCTTTTCTAACGTAGGATGTAAGCTCCTTGAGGGTAAGGGCTCTTCCATTTTTGTCTTTCTATTACCATTACTTTATATAATGTCTGGCATTAATAAATGAATGCTTGGTTGACTGGCTCTTGTAATGTGATCTGAGACTGCATTACTGCCCTGTTGACATGTGGGGCAGAAACACCCAGATATTTTTCAGATAAATTGTTATCTGTTATCAGATGCTTCCTCTAATTTGTGATGTTTATTTTCTTAGCTCAAATGTACCTCTGTTAACAAGATGAAATTTAGTAAGAGGATGAATACAATCTTGATACTATCTTGCTCTTTGACCTGGTCCTTGCAAAATGGTTCACCTTGATAAGAAATATCATGAGTGGTATCATGCAAGGTACCCTACGAATATTCCATCACAAAGACTGAATTATCTTTAGATTTTATATCTGCAGCTAAGTCCTTTGGAAAAACAAAGCTTAACATACTCTCTTACCTCTTGTTATAGGTGTAATATTGTCAGACAATGCCAGTGTGTGTTCTTTTATTTAGCTGTATTACATGGGAAGATTCTTTGCAGGGAGAAGCGAGAGTTGGGAAGGAGAGGAAGAATAAGCATAGCTATTCACAAGAGTTAACCTGTCACTGTGGATCTCAATTCGCTCCTGGTTAGATTATGCTGAATTGGTTTTGATTAAATCCCAAGGTCTTTTGGGGCAAGAAAGTGACCTTTGGCAAAGTAATCTTGCTTTAGTTTCATATGCAAGAAATTTGGAAGATACATATTTTTAGTAAGAGGGTCCCAGGCTACTTAATAAAAAAGTGGCCCATAAAGAACATCAAGTGTTAACAGGAACTCAGTGCTGTTTTTAAGGTTCTCATCTTGAATTGCACACCAAATGAATAGCCAGCTATTAAAGTGTCCTTAAGAACCATAAGAGGTGATTTGTAAGCCTTTATAACAACGACTCCTGTTTATAAGTTAACATTCTATTTGTCATTCCTTTGATTTCACAACATTCTCCCCATCCCAAAGTGCTGTGACCTATTCTTTTTCTTATTTGAAGCAAACTAAAATTTAATTTTGTTTGAAGAATTTTTGTGACACCCTTTGAGATAACATGCTTATCAGATATACAAATGACACAAAGCTGGGAGGGATCATGAATATGATGGATGACAGGATCAAAAAGATCAGAATCAGAAAAATGCCAGAATGCTGGCTGATGCAGAAACCAACTAGAAGAAATTTAACAGGGGGCAGCTAGGTGGTGCAGTGGATAGAGCACCGGCCCTGGACTCAGGAGGACCTGAGTTCAAATTCGATCTCAGACACAGAACACTTACTAGCTGTGTGACCCTGGGCAAATCACTTAACCCCAATTGCCTCACCCCCCCCCCCCCAAAATTTAACAACACAAGCAGTTGCTCAGACTAGGCTGAGTAGCCAGTTAAGAAAGAGATCATGTTGTTCCACTCCAAATGCTTTTTTTCTATAAAATCACAGCTGCTTTCTCTTCACCTCCATGTTCTCTTGGCCAAGATGTAAGTGTAGCTTTTTTTTAATTCTTAGTTCATAGAAGATTTGGATTTTACAAAAAGCACCTTACTGAAAACTAGAATAAAATAATAAGCTAATATTTAGACATTATTTTAAGGTTTGCATAGCACAATTTCAGTTCACACATGTTCCCTCCCCCTACTATAACTGTAATGTAGGTTTTTTTATTGTCCCAGATGAGAAAATTGAAGCTTAGAGAGGTTAAGTAATTTGCTCAGTCACACACACAGTGAGTAAGTGTCTGTGGTAAAATTTGAACTTTCTTTGTCCTGATTTCAAGGCTGGCACTCTATCTACTCAACTACCTAGCTGCCTAATAAAGCTATAAAATGCAAAGCTGTAAAGAGAACATTGGGAATTTTATCTCAACAGTCTAGTTATAAATGACCAGGGCACTTTCTTGGACTTACTATCGGCCAAAATGTTGACCAGAATAAAAACTAGAAAGGGACCTTAGAGATCATCTAGTTCAATGTCCTCATTTCGATAGTTGAGAATACAAGTTTAGAGATCACATCCCTGTCATTCTGTAAGTTAACAGGTCTGGAGAATAAACCCAATTTTAATAATTCCAATTGAAGCATACCACATGTTTCTCTAGAAGACAAAACTTGATTAGAAATTAGATACTAAAAACAGTCCAACATTCTTTTTTCTTTATTCCTTCTTCATCCTTGCTCTCTTTCCAATGTCTATTCTCCTGAGCTCACCCCTTCAACTCTGCCCTTTAAAATCTGCCACATTCAGACTATCTCCATCTTTGTCTTAACACTCCTTTCTGACTTGGGGCACAAAATGAAGCCCCTTTTTAATCCTCTGAAGTGTTGGTTGTTCTTTTTTCTCAGTGCCATGATTCTTGGGGTAAAGAGGACAAACCTGTATGCTCCATGTTCCTCACTATCATACAGGAACCTTTTGTCCTTTGTTAGTTCATACCATAATATTAAGTGCTCCATTCATAAACGGTTTGTGGGGCAGCTAAGTGGCTTAGTGGATAGAGCACCGGCCCTGGATTCAGGAGGACCTGATTTCAAATCCAGCGTTAGCCACATAACACTAGCTGTGTGACCCTGGGCAAGTCACTTATCCCCACTGCCTAACCCCCCCCCAAAAAATCTGTAACATAAACACTTTGCAATCATCTATCAATCTCCAATATACTTGCTCAGTCTTCCTCTCTACCTTGCACATCCTTGTTGACTACAGTCTTCACAAAGATTACCTTTTAGTATGTTCTCCCAATTATTTCCTTGACCTCCTCAGCCCTTATGTCCTCCATTCTCCATTGCACCATAACCATTTGTGCCCAGGCAACTTAACTTGGACTAAAAGGCCATTGTGACATGGTTCCTTTATTTCTCTATGATTCAGTTCAGCAAATATTTGTTAAGCACCTTCTGTATGGTATGCTATGTCATCAGGGTTTTCTTGGAGATTTTCTGTTATACCACTCACTACTTCTCTGTAGCAAGAAGTAGGGTCTTAGAATTGTAAGGTTGCTGATTTCTTGTTTTAAAAGCACACAGCAAGATGTAGTTAGAGGGACAATTCCTTCTTCAAAGTCTTTTGTTTCTTTGATAGCTGAAGTGTCATCTATCATTGACAAGTCCATGTCTAGGTTTTAAGTAAGCTCTAACATTATTTCTGGGAATACCTATCAACTAGCTCAGAGGGAATTTACTGGGCTTGGATGGTAGTTTGGTTATTTTCCTTCCCCCTTGTCTGAAGTGATTGAAGAAAGCTGGAGGGGGGAAGGGGAGGGAAGGAGAATGTATTGGTAGACATGGGTGAGAAACACAAATTTATAGATAGGATAACATTGAGAATTTCTTTGTAAAGCTATATCTTTCTCCCATGGGCAAATTAGTAGTCTTTATTCCTTTTGTAGTTTGTCTTGAGAAGCTATTCTGAAGAATCTCATTTTATTGAGTAAGGGTGATGCTGCATGCATTGCCTATTAAAATGTTCATTTAATACCCCGCATTGAGCAAGGAACACGAGTTAGCAGGAGAGACTGCACAAGCTATGTTCCTCTTTTCATAACTTACTCTATGAAATAATGGGTAATTCCCATGTAGAAAGTGATATTGCTTTAAATGAGCAAAGTATGTGTATTTGTAGTGGGGTCAGAGGGAAGCAGTATAGTCTAGGAAAGATTGTTACTGTATATAAGGAGAGTACAAGAGATAGAGGACAGTGGGGGAAAAGTTGTTGCATGTCCCATTGGCAAGAGGGTGCTGGGTTTTGAGTCAGAAAACCTGGATACAGATTCTAGCTCTGCCACTTTTTAACACGTGTAAATTAGTGTCGTTGGTTTCTTCACCTGTAATCTATTTAGGCACTTATTAAGTGCCGACTATGTGCCAGACATTGGGGACACAAAGAAGGGCAAAAACAGTCCTTGCCCTTCAGAAGCTCATATTCTAACACAGAAAAATAAAGGAGTTGGAAGAGATGATTTCTAAAGTACCTTTCAGCTCTTAAGTCTATGATTATATGTTTCCAGATTAGGAAATAAAGTGTTAGGTTTGCTTACATGGTATAGGTATATATATAGACTCCATAATTATGCAGTAACCATCTAAACTGAAGATTTGAGCTACTTCCTCCTTTTTTTTCTTTATAAATTATTATAGATAAGCCTGGTATTTGCTTATCAAAGTTATCACTTAAATGAAAGGATTTTTTTGTTTTTGTTTTTTTTTTTTTTGTGAACACACATGCTGGGAAGTTATATTTCATAGTCAGGTGGCTTCTGATTAAGAGTTAAGATTCGAAAGTAAGGAGGAGGACCCTATGTTGGATTAGAGCAAGAAAGCCATAGTTCCTTTTTCACTGCTCAGAAATATCTGATTAGGGACCAAATTAAGAAGGAATCAGTAGTTTACCCTGTCACCTTTTGCCTAGGGCATTGTGAAATGGACCTGTCTTTTAAATTAAAAAAAAATGGTCAACAGCCATAATTTTTTGCTTAAGAACAGTGCCAGGAAAGTTTAGCATTTCCTTCAGAGACTACTGGTCTTTTGAAGTCTAGATGAGCTCTTGTCACATAATTGCTCACCTTTAGCAAAGAAGAAAAGGTAAACTAGAAGCTCTTTAGAAGTGAAGGAGAGAATTCTTTTTCCTAAATACTAAACATTTGATATTTCTAGTCAGTAATGCCCGAGTCCAAAGCACATAAGATTTAATAGAGGTTATGTTAATGTACTTTGTGGGGTTTAAGTGAGATTTTAGACTTGAATTTATTCTTTATTTCTTTCTGTTTGCAGGATGTTGCTGCAGACTGTGAAGTGAAATGCATGCCAACATTTCAGTTCTATAAAAGTGGAAAAAAGGTAGGTAATCTCATCTTCAAGGAAGATCCTCTTGCTAATTTTGCCAATTTCTAGTGGGTGAAGGGAAAAAGAATAAGCAAAAGGTGGCTTAGACCAACACCGAAAATAAGGGGTTCCTTGCTGAATTAGGAAAGTCATCCTATATGGGATGATTCAGATAGATAGGTCAGAGCATAGGCAGTAACCATGTATCATGCCTAGATATTGGAAGTCTGCTGCTTCTCTTTTATAGCTTATGAAAGGCTTTAACAGCTTAGACTGAAGTAGCTAAATTATGCATGAGTAAATTTATTTAAAATTAGTTGTGCCTTTTTAAGCTGAAATTTTCTATCATTCCTGTTTGAATTTTTTTTCCTTAGGTTTCATTTCCATAAAATAAGTTAAGCAGTGGAGTTTATTTTGAGCAGTTCTCCTTTTCTGCCCAGCTTCCTTGATTCAGCCACCCTACGCTTTTAAATACTAAAAACACAAAGCCAGAGTGCTGTGCTACATGCCATATCAGCTTTTGAAATTGTTACATACTTTGAAAAAAACTCATTCCACAGGAGATTTTAAAAGAAATTCATTCCAAGTCCTGTTAATTCAAAAGCTGTCTTGATAGCCTACTAAATTCACAAATATGGTGAAAAAAGTTGTTTTGTTTTAATGGAAATTTTTAACTCAACAGGTGGGTGAATTTTCTGGAGCCAATAAGGAAAAGCTCGAATTAACCATTAATGAATTGAAGTAATTGTGGATCCTGTGAACAGTGTGAACAACTGTCAGCTGTCTAAATTATATAGCTTATAATTTTTTTCTATATCCAAAAAAAAGATCAAGTATAACAAGAGTATGTATCCAAATAACATTTGACTGTTAAATGACAATAAAATGTAAATCCTACCCTTTTGAAAACTGCCTAGTCTTTTAATTAGCTTGTCTAAGTGAATGGTGGCAATTATAACCTCATTAAATGACTTTTCAGAGTCTTAAGGCTCAAGCTTTTAGGAAGAGCTAAAAATTTATTCTTGATCTAATGCATTTGGTATGCCATATTCTCCCTTTCCATATAAGTACAAGTATTTAGCTTCCTCCTGTACTTTGTTCTATATTCTTATCATCTGAGATGCCTATGTTTTTTTCATTTCCTGCTAATAATGGATCAAAATAATACTTGTAGGTTAACAGGCATTAAGATATGGAGGCCTTTTGTAGCTTTGGGTAAGTCACTTACATATAATGGGCCTCAGTTTCCTTATCTGCAAAATGTCAGGGCTGGATTAGATGGACACTAAGTCCCAGTCCCCCCTAGTCTTTAGTTCCAACACCACTGATTTGGGGAAGGGGGAGTGGTCTCTGGAGTCACAATGATAAACACTTGAAAAGGGCAGACTCTAAGTGATATATTGGGGGTGGGGCAGGAGTTGTTTAGATCCTGGAATAGAGGAGGAAGTTTTTGAGCTGGGATTTGAGGTTGGGAGGAATTTCAACAGACATAGGCAGTGGGGAGTTCCTTATCCCAGAAATAAGGGACAGCAGTGTCACGGCCGCTGCAGTGGAAAGCATGAGACCAGCTCAGTACTCTAAAACTCGGTGACGCATTGATGAGGCGGGAGACAGCAAGATGGCAGAAGCTCCATTTATTATGTGCTTGCAGCTATCTTTTATACCTCTAGCAGTACATGACTAAAGCATGATCTCCATGTGCTATCCAATCATCTAGCCCGTCGGACACATGCAGCCCTCGTGTCATGGGTATGAGTAGGGCTTTTCTCCCAAGGAGAGGAGAGCCGAGCCAACCGTGGTAGCTGCTGTCAGCAAAGGAGAGGTCTTGTGACACAACAGGTTGTGACCCTCAGCTGCTGCTGAGAGAAGCTAGAACTCCCATGAGAAAATTACCCTAACAATTCCTCCTTTTTGTTTTAAAGAAGGTGGTGTTGTGGGTGTGTGTCTGTCAATACCTGTAGTTGAGACATAACATTTTTAAGCGTGGACATCATTACTTTCAAAAGACATCCAACTACAGTAGGTAAGCAGCATAAAAGCAAGCACAATAAAACAATCATTATAATCCAAGTGGAAAAGCTCACAGGGTTGTTGTTATGCAGATCAAATGAGATAATGTGAGTAAAGTGTTATGCTGGTCTTAAAGTGGCACAGAAATGCCAGCCAGCAGGTATTGTTGTTAGCCAGCCCTCCTAGCTTTTTGTCATCGGCAAATCTAATGAGCCAGATGTGCAGGGCCCTTCTTAATCCAATCAACAATTTCCTCTGCTGTGTCATCAGGCATTAAATCCTTATGTGAAGCTACATCAATTTCATGAGCTATATGCCACAATTCATCCATCTCTGAGCTGAGATTAGAGCTCAACATTATCCCATTTAAGTGTTTTTTAATACGTCCCCAATCCCATCGAGACTGATTATAAAGTAATGGCGTTACACAAATAAAGTTGTATCTATAATCACATTGTAAGGAAGATTGATATTCGAGGAGATAAGAGTTTATCACCCACTGCCTCGACAGTGTGTGCTAATTCTGACAATTTTATAAAAGTCATTGTTAATTCTGTTTTGAATTGTGAAACCTACTGACACATTATGAGCTAACTCTTGCATGAATTTTGCTTCTACAATTTGATTTTTTACTGTAGATATAGACATTGCTATAGAAGTCGAAGAGGCTATTATAGATATTAATGCTACAATTCCCAAAACTACACAACTAATACAGCATTTTTGCCTGCGTAAGCCAAGTTCTTGGTTCTTATGTTGAATAAACATGATCAGCTTTTGTCCTATACCAATCATTAGTTTTAACAGGAAGCAAAGCAAAATTAGTCCTCCGAATTATAAAAATCTTTTGCTTGCCTATTTTCTCTCCAATACATTCTGAAACCGAACAGTTATGGCATGTGACATATGCATTTTCTTCTACAATAACACTGGCATTGTGTCCCCACATAAAAGCATAATCGCCTCCCAAGCAAGCGCGTGCTTGTAGAACAAAGCCTTCTTCCTTTGTGTCGTTACTCCAGGAGGGCTTACCGAAAATCTTTTTCCAAGTATACCAATACCCTGAATATCCCCCTGGATATTTCTCTATTATAGTTATATTTCCCAAAACCATCCATATTTTCCACAACTGATTCCCTTTTCCACCCAAATTCCCAACCCAATTTGGTAGCATCTGTTCTATGTAGGATATATTTGGGTCTGGTGTATGCCATGATTGTAAAGTTATGTTCTGTAAACGATGACACGCTCTGTTATGAGTAAGACATGTTTTCATAATAGGCCATCCTGGTTTTGTTCCATTAAGGGGAATGCAAGGCGATATCGAAGGTCTTATTATGATGGTATCATTCGTGCAATTCTGTTCTTCCAATCCCATCATATGAATTATTTGTTCCCCAATGCTGAACTGTGTATGCAACGTGGTATTGACCAATTTAGCATAATGTTCGCTCGTATTCTCGTTTTTTGTAAAACATATAGGCAGAGTAGCAGTTAGTCCTGTAATATTGTATTTTAGTGTTCCTGAAGTATTGTTTCCTGTTGCATAGTCAAATTCCTGGGCAAAGAATTTACTTGCATTTCCTTGTAGTACAACATTTGGAAGCCATTCATTCCATGTTACAAGTTTGGGCCATGGAGGGTCCTTTTATGAAGGCCCATCTGGTCTCATTTTGACCCATCTCAATTGCCGAAGTTAACTGCAGCATAGCCAGCATCAGGATAACAGTTTTCGTAGGTCTAGCCATGTTTGTTCTTTTCTTTCTCCTTTTACTGGGTCGTCTTCTCCTCCGATGTTTCCGAGGCTTCAGTGACAATTTTGAGAGTTTTTGTTGGCACCCAATTTAGATCCTTCTCCTGTTGAGATACAAGCATACCCTGGTCCCCAGGTTATTACCCTGAAAGGTCCTATCCACTCATTTGTTCAAATAATATTTTGCCCTGAGGTCCAGGAGCCATCTGATAAGACACTATCCTGCACTGGTCTACATATTCAGCCATCCAAAAGACAGCAGCTCTAGGTGTCAAGACGGCATGGGCTATTGCCTTCCAATCATTTGGACATAAAATAGAGCTGGAGATAACCTCTAATTGATACATTACAAAAGGTGATGTGGGTCCATGTTGAGTAACTGCTTGTTTTAACTGTAACAGAACTTTAAAGGGAACAGCCCCATGTTTCCTCCTAACCTGTCCTGGATTAAAAGGATCAGGTTCCTCAATTACTGTAGTTGAGACATAACATTCACTAACTCCCATTCACTAACATCCTCACCCTGTTCCTTTGCTTTTCTAATGCTCTTTTGTAGTGACTCTTCACTGCTAGATGCCATCATTGCCTTAATTTTTGGGCGTGCGCCAGTGTAATTATATTCACTTTCTATTTTGTGTGGCGCAGCAGCGTATTCACTTTAATTTTGAGATATTAATGTTATTTTTCGTACTGACTCTTCTAATTTTTCTATATCAGGGTATGTTCTTCGAAAATAATTGGGAGCGGAATCGTCAGAGGGGTCAGGCGGTTTTTCCTCTCTGTTTGGGGAACTTTCTCGACTAGAAGTTGTGGATGGGAGGGACAAGCCAGTTTGAGTACAGGCTGGAAAGCACCTAACCTCTCTTTGTTTTTGATTTGTCAATATTTGTTTTACTAAATTATAAATTGTATAGTCTAACTCTCTTACTTCTCCCGGGCAAGTATTGTCAAAGGATGTCATCTGTTCCCCAAATACTTTCCATCTACCTGGCTTGAAGCAGCCTTGTTCAGGGAGCCAAGCAGAGACCTTAAAGGCCAGTCTTACAAATTTTCTTAGGTCTTTTATGTGTATAGTCACTCCTTCCCTTTTTGCTATTTTATATAATGCCCGGGCATAATTTTCCTCATTGGAAGGAGTGAGAAGCCCTAAGTTTTGCCCCATGGTAGAGTAAAGTCTTACTTACCTTCTCCGTTGTCTTCTTACGGTGGGATACGCCACGGAGACCCTTTCTTTCAGGCTGAAGCTCGAAGCTTACCGACGCTAAGTTCTTGGAAAATGTCTTTCTGCTTACGGGGTTCTGTTTCCTCATGCCCCATGTTGGGCACCAGTTGTCGTGGCCGCTGCAGTGGAGAGCATGAGACCAGCTCAGTACTCTAAAACCCGGTGACACATTGATGAGGCGGGAGACAGCAAGATGGCAGAAGCTCTGTTTATTATGTGCTTGCAGCTATCTTTTATACCTCTAGCAGTACATGACTAAAGCATGATCTCCATGTGCTATCCAATCATCTAGCCTGTTGGACACATGCAGCCCTCGTGTCAGGGGTATGAGTAGGACTTTTCTCCCAATGAGAGGAGAGCTGAGCCAACCATGGTAGCTGTGTGTCAGCAAAGGAGAGGTCTTGTGATGCAACAAGTTGTGACCCTCAGCTTCTGCTGAGAGAAGCTAGAACTCCCATGAGAAAATTACCCTAACACAGCAGTAGCAAAAGCAGAGAGGTCTCTCTCTGTTTAGGGGCAAATATTTTCTCCCTTTTTGGAATCTGCCTGTACCTATAGGTTCACTATTGCAAAATTGACATGAGCTAATGCTGCCTCTTTATGGAGTTTGGTAGAACTGCACGTTCTCTACCTACAGAAATTTCCTTGCAGACATTGGCATGGGGAGATAGGGCTTGTTATGCAATCCCTGTGGGCTTTATAGAAGCCCTGCACACTATAAAGTTTGGCCAGATAGGCAACTTGGTAAAAGAAGGGTCTGTTATTGACAACACAGGTGGATTTCAGAAAAGCATCTTATGATATTTTTGTGGAAAATATTAAGAGGGATAGATAAAACCACTATATGTGTTCAGAATAGGTTAAATGATTAGATCTACAGCGTGTTCATTAATGAATGGATCTCAACCTAGGGGAAGTCTACTGGAGTGCCTCAAGAATCTCCTTGGCCCTGTCAGTGGTTCAACACTTTTCTCAGTGACTTGGTTAGAGCATAGGTGGCAGAGAAGGCAGACCTTAATGTTTGTTGAAGTCAGTGCCCTAGTAACACCTGAAAATCAGCAAGTTAATGATAGAAATGATTGTTCCTTCCAAAACTACCACCTCTTCCCAATTCCCAGAATACAGAAGCACAATTGAAGAAACCAACTGGCAGGATGGGAAGAGTACTGGACTTGGGCTCCAAGAACCTGGGTTTAATTCTTGATTCTACCATTTTAATCCTGAGCCAGTCACTTAAACTTCTGGGTCTCAGTTTCTTCATTTATTAAATGAAGAGAGCTGGATTGGATGACCTCTAAGGTAACTTTCACCTCTAAATCTGATCCTATGTGTGACACTGTCCAGTACTTTGTGTCCTTTTTTTCTTGCCTAATACATCACAATCCTTTTAAGCTATGGTTTATGAACATTTAGAAAGGAAGATGGCAACCTCAGGAGTGATCACTAAAAGCAAGGCAGAAAGCTTCAGTCTAATGAATGGAGGAGCTAGGGTTTAAACCCAGCTTGTCTGACTCCAGATTTAGTACTCTTTCAGAGCTCATCATGACATGGGCTTAAATAAACTGATTCAGAATGACGTAAGCACAACAATGAAAAAAATGCAATGGCTATGACAATGTGAATGGAAAGAACCAAAAAACATAATGCCTTAAAATTATCATGACCAAGGCTGGCACTAGAAAAATGATGAGAAAATAATATTTCCTACCTTTGCAGAGGTGTGGGAGATTATTATGGTTGTGGAACATTGTATAAACTGTCAGATTTCATTGACTTGCTGCTAAGTTTTGTGATACTTTATTTCCTCTTTTTTGTTACAATTTATTTGTTCACTGGGTAGGGAGAAATGTATTCAGAAACAGAGATGATGTAAAAGCAAACTTAGGTATTCAGTAATATAAAAAGCAGGGAAGGTGGATGGTGGAGGCAACTGAGGGTTGGGGTGCAAGGTTTGAGTGGTGTAATGCCTTGGCTTATCAATGTCCATTCTAAAAAATGTAGAAAAATTCAGTATTCCAGATGTGCTATGATCAAGACATCTTAAAACACAATGGCTTTTCAAAGGCTATGATAAATTTTGTGTACAGGGATGATGAAGTTTGCTGGCTATCAGGATGAGTTTACATTTGGAGAGGCTTATGAAGGTTAGCCATCATGCAATGAAAATTTTTGAACATAACTCATGAAGAATATTTATGGAGGACTGGAGGGGTTAGGGACAACTAGGTGGTGCAGGAGACAAAGTGATCTGAGTTCAACTCCTATCTCAGACACTTAACTAATTGTGACCCTCGGCAAGTCATTTAACTTCAGTTTCTGCATGTAAAATAGGGATGATAATAATAGCATCTACTTTGAAGAAAGGTGGTTGTGAGGACAAAATAAGATATTTGTAAAATGCTTCACACTGCCTGGCCCATAGTAGGCATTATACAAGTGTTAGCCATTATTATTAATGACTTGTGATGGTGAATCAGCTATCTACACAGAATAAGTCACAGATCCTTGATGTACAAGTCAGATGGCATTAGCCTTTTTGGCTACAATATCACAGTTGATTGAATTTACAGCTCATTAAAACTCCTGGGTTCTTTTCATTTGAACTGCTTTTTTTCCCCCCCTTTCACCTTAATTTTCCAATCTATCCTTTTCTGCATCTGTCAGGAGACACTACCATGGAACTACAAACAAAATATGCAAGTCAAGAGAGGAATCTTAAAACAAAGAACAAATAATAGGGGGGAAAAGCAGTTGAACAAAACTACCCAATACATCAATCAAGTTGGACAGTATTTTCCGTTTCCTACTTTCACAGTCCCCAACATCTGCAACGAAGGGATTCCCATATTTTCTTACCTGGGCTAAGCATTGTTATTGTAATTTTACAATATTCAGTCTTCATTTTTGTTCTTTTTCAACAACTTTTCCAGTATTTACACTGAACTGTTAAACATCCCTCACTGCCACTTGCCTACGGTGCTATCCTAAGCAGTCAGCCTCCAATCAATCAATCTTGCTATCAATCAATCAATCAATCTTGCTATGTGTTGAACTAGGCAATGGAATGTCCCCTGAATCTCAGTTTATTTACCTGCTGTGAACAAAGTACTTTGTAAACATTTAGTATTATGTCCATGTTGGGGATGGGGATAGGATTAGGCCTCCTGGACTTTTGATTTCATTGGTATAAGGAACTGCTGGATGAGAAAACTGATGGAGGTCATCCCCTTCTTTGCAACTTGTTCCACAGAGGTGCTCAGAGCACAGAAAGGTTATGTGCTTTGCCCAGTGAACTTCATCAACAGCACGATACTTAAAAATCAATCCAGATTTCTTTATTTTTCAAGGTGCCCTCATATGTTATCTCCTTTCCCCATAAATCTGGGCACTACCATAAATGAGAACTAAATTAGCAGGTCAGGAAGAATCTACTTTATCAGGAATGAATCCGTTTCAAAAGCTTCATATAATTTTCTGGATATTGTTTCTGTTCTATAGTATTTTCTTTATCCCAGTTGGTACAATTGGTAAATGTGGTAGGTGAGTGTATTATAGATCAGTATCTCATTTTAGCTCTCTAAAAGAATGTGGTTTGGCTTTGTAGGGCCAAAATAAAACCTTAAGGTCACCATCTAAAGTCATTAAAAGGATCCAAGTGGGTATGGGGAATTCATTCCCTTTTAAATTATCCAGATTATAACAGTTTACTTGTATAGAGCCAGCATACATGGGTTTTTCAAACTCTGAGAAGTTGAAATCTAAACTTTGACCTATGAATTAATTAATGAGGATTTATTAAGCACTATAGCACTATGTGCCAGCAGCTATGCTAGGTGCTGAATATACAAATTAAAAAAAAAAAGTCTCATTAGTGGCTAGATTGGCTACTGAAAAAGGAATTAAGCAACTATTTAAACCAAGATGGTTTTATATATGGGCATTTAAAAACTAAAATTTCCCTTCTCAAATAAAGCTTCAGGTTTTCTTTGGTTGAAGGGCTTTAAATTAGTAAAGAAACTTTGGGGACCACCTGGGAAAACTGCCTTATTGTGAATAAAATTGTGGCCCAGAAAAGAAATCTCATGAGCACTAAGCAGTAGAGCTAGAACAGGAATCCTGAATCCTACTCCTGTTCTCAATTGTTAGCTATAAAATCTGTACCTTGAACACGACCCGAATGGACAATCAACAAAGCTTCATGGTCAATGTTCAACTAAAATCCTACCCTGACATTTCATTGGGGTCAATACAGAGTTGACTTTTGGTAATCAAAGACTGCCAGGAGAAAACAAGCTCTGACAGGTCCTGCCAAGCCGGCAAGGCTTCATGTATAGGATCCAAATTGTACTTTCTGTTGTCTGAAGGTCAGTCACCTTAGCTAAACAGATACTCATTTCCAGATGGTTGGCTAGTAGGAATGATTTTTTTTTTTTTTGGTTTGTGTTTTTGGCCACAGCAACTCATAAAGCATTGGTACAGGTTCTTAACCTGGAAACGGCAAACTTTTTTATTTAAAAAAAATGCTTTGTTTATTGTATTTCAATAGAAATAATTTTTGTGATCTTATGTATTTTATTTTATACATTAAAAAACATTCTGTGAAAGGGTCCATAGGCTTCACCAGACTGCTAAAAGTTAAAAGGGAAAATGTTTTATTATATTGTTTGGAAAACATTAATTATTATACCGTTTAAATCTAACTTCATGTGACTAGAGATTGTTTGAACCCAGAATGTTATCCTGACCTCAGTAACTCTCCAGGAATGCCAGAAATGGCTACAAGGAATTACGAGTTTCCCCCTAGATCCTGCATTCACCTAGAATGTTTGTTTTGGGTCTACTTGTTATGGTTTTGTTTAGGGTCTATCCAAGCTTGTGTTTTGGGTTCCCCTTGTGTTTTGATGTCATACAAATTTTAATGAATGTTTACATTTACTGATATCCATCTCAATCAACCTTACTTTCAAGTTGCCCTCTCTGCATGTGTGGGTACCCACGTTTAAATCCTATATAATATAAACCTTCCAGAGCCTGGAGGAGAGGGAGTCATACCCTTTATCCTGCCTCATCTCCTCTACCAAATGACCTAATAAATTTCCTTCTAAAACTATTTCAAATT